GAAGATGTGCCTCAGAGTGTAGTTATCTTTGTCGTCAGATATGTTCAGTAGCTCTCTTTATTCATCATTGACACCACGCAAATTCTCATAGGGACTCACACGTACCGGCAAGGTTCGCAACATAAAAACAAGTCAACTGTAATTTTCAGTTGGCTCACCTTTTCCATCATTGGCATCAAGCAAATCACGGACAGGGGAAATGTGACAACGTCAAAAGACTAAACTGTGAAAATTGGTGAAGGTAGTCAGTATCAAGGACGAACACATGGTCAGATATTTCATAAAGGTAGGAATTTTGGATAGTGCATCAGTATCACTTTGTGCTCATCAAGGATATTCAGTAGAGCTCTTTTTCGTTCATCATGGCAACAAGCAAATCATCAATGGGCAATAAAAGTATTGGCAAGGATCCACGTACTGAATATGGGAGACTCAAATATGAAAGAATCATGCAGTGGTCTTGAGCATGTGCTCAGATATGGGATTTCTTTTCTTCGGGGATCTCTCTTTCTTCGGCCACAAAGCGCTGGTACTCGTATAACCTTTCCATTATTGCCAAATCGGAAGGCCGAGAGGGAAATGGAAGATGGGTGAGCTAGGAAGAAAGCATGGTATTAGTAAATATAACCCAGAAAGATATAGGGGTTCCAAACAGATAGGTTTCAATCAAATATCACCAAAGCAAAGGCATCGAGTGGACATGAAGCTTGCCCTTTTTTTGGTCGCCACAAGGGGCGCATGCTTGACAAGACAAGGTACAGATGTAACACTTTGTACCATTGCCAAGCTGGAGGCTCAATGGCGAATTGGGAGGGAACTCTGGGGAGCTAAACTGAGAAGATGTAATGTTAGCGAACGTAATCCAGCAATTGGAATGAGGGCCCAAGTAAAAAAGTCGCAATCAGATGTAGGCTCAGACAGGGGTTTCTTTTCTTCAGTGGCTCTTTTTAAGACGCTGTCGAAAGCGCAGTTACTACATAGATCCGAGGTGCAGGTATAGATAGCCCTTTCATCATCGCCGAATTGGGAGTAGCAGAACATAGAGATGGACTCACAATCCCATAAGCAGGTATGCCGAGCAGTGAAATGACAGCGGCGGCTCCGTGCAGGAAACGAACGGGTTCAAACAGTGGATCACGAACACCGGAGCAAGAACAGATATTGGCCGTCATAAGCGTCATATTGACAGCCTATAATTGCAGAATGAGACTAGAGAGAGACGAGCTTATTAGCAGGCGAGACTTCGCAAACGAGAACAGAGTATGTCGAGTTGGTGTTCATAGATGCTAATCATGATTTCAAAGCAAGCAATGGGTCTCAAATGGTGGCTCAAATATATTGTTTTGATCAGGCTCAATCAAAATGAAGACGTTTGAACACCATCATTGCAGCATCGAAATAACATGAGACCCATGATGAATACATAGATAGTCATGACAAAGAGGGTAGTGCAGAGGAGGGGGGAGGGACATATACTTTACCTTGGAGATGGTATATGGGGCAGAGCCAAAGCAAGTAATCACGGAGGCACTAGTCAAACGAGGCGTCAGCAAGGGAGAGCTTCCATAGTACCTGAAGTCAAAGGTAATGATGAAAGTGCCATCGTATATCATCATAATCATCATCATCATCATCATCATCATCATCATCATTGAAACAAGAGGAAGTGGTCATGACGCCGATGGAAGCACATACCCACCTTCACAGCAGAGGAACTCAACAATGAATAGGATAGAAAGAGGAAGGGGGAAAGGAAATAACTCACGAAGCAGGAGGTAAAGTAAACAACACGATTGTCAGTGCCAAGAAAAAGAAGAAGAAAAAAAGAACCCTGCGGAATAGTGCGACGAGTCAGCAACGTGCGTCGACGACTAAGCAATGTAAACGAAGCAAGTCGCCTAGGCAGCGAGGTAATCGACCCACAAAGGCCTTTCATCAGTACAAACGATCTCGAGACTCACCAAGATACTCGACCAAACCAAGCCTTCAATGCAGTAAACGAGATAATATAAACGTGCATTGTGGTAAGCGAAAGCGAGGTCAAGTCTAAGCACCGATTCAAGGAACAATTGTAGAAGTGAGGGCTCTTGAGCAACTGAAAATAGGACTTGGAGGAGAAGAGAAAAAAAACAAAACGACAAGATCGTATACAAACTACATATACTTGTACTCAACGTTGATTGGCGGATATAAGGAGGTCCGTGCTCAGTCTCGGACGCTAATTGGTTGAATCTAAATCTGGGGTATGGTGTACCCATGGGGTGTACCCATGGCTTGAATAAATTGAGGCTTATGAGGTGACATGCTTCATCCCGATCGCTACAGGCGGGTTACTACAATGAAATTTCATGAGTCCATAGCTAGGGTGGGGGTATAAATCTGTACGAATTATCACGGGGGCAGTCGACGTAGTGCGAGAGATAAATGTGGTTACATTTTACTTGGGGATTGAGGTTTGCGGTTCAGGTACCGAGGGCTATCTCAAACCACCTTGAGCCACCGCCTCAAGGGGTTTGCGGCAATTGAATAGATATAATTCTGATCTCAACAAAAAAAAGTACCCAGGTAGGCATTCCAATGACAACAGAACGAGTCTAAAAAGTGACGACTAGGAAAAATGACTACCGCCGACTCAGCAAAAGCAGCCATCGACGACTAAGCAAGGAAAATACGGATTCAAGCTAAGGAATTCAATACTCAACCAAGTCGCTAACACTCAGGAGCCGTGGGCAAAACATGACGACAATTCATTCCCTATGGTAACGGCAAGTGGCTTGCTACTGACAGACAAGAAGCATCTGCAAGGATTGAATACCACTATACATCATGATCAACAACCCTCAGCGATCAACATGACTCCCCGGGTCGTCTACAACGCAGGGATAGTTTTTCAATGAAGGTCTCGCCCCATTTTGCACTGCAAAGATCAGCAACTGACAATAATGAGCCAGGAAAGCGTTTCGAACCTTGTGTTGGCATTGACGAAGCCTCGAAGATACTCGTATTTGTCCTTTCGCTCGGCAGGGTCCAGATTCAGCGCATTGAAGATTGCCTCAGACATCTCCGTCTTGTTTGCAGGATGGAACGGGATACTACCATTTCTCATAAAAGAAGCCGCGCCGGCAAATTCCGAGAGGACGAGGACACCATGACGCTCTTCCTGGCAGGCCACATACTCGAAGGCCACGAGATTCATTCCATCCCGGGTCGAGGTGAGAAGACAAACATCGGCTACCGAGTACAATGCGGTCAATTCATTGAATGGAACGGAGCGATGCATATACAGCAGCGGAGTGCCCTCGGGGGTAGCTGGCTAAGTTAGTATACTCCCAATATCTGGGATAAAGACTTACCATGCTTTCCGTTGATCTTTCCGGCTATAGTACACAGTTCTGTCTCGAGATCCTGGTATTCCTTTACGTCCTCGCGGCTTGGGACGGCGACTTGAATGAGAACAACCTTGTTTTGCAGCTCTGGGTGGTCATCGAGAAAAACGTCGAATCCCTTGAGCTTCTGCGTGAGGCCTTTGATGTGGTCCAGTCGGTCGACGCCAACAATTACCTTGACACCTTTGTAGTGTTCTTTGAGGCTTCGAATACGCTCTTGGACATCAGGCTTTTGCAGTGAGTCGGTGAACTTTTCGGGGTCGATGCCGACAATGAACTTGTTTATGCAAACCAGGCGGTTTTTATACTGGATTTGGTTGGGAATTTCGGTGCGTGCATTACTGGGGTGGGTGTTGGTTGATATTTCTTAAGCATGTGGGGAAAGGGAAATTAGGGCTAATGCTCACAGGAGACTGGCACAGGTGTCGATGAAGTTTTGCTTATACTCGTCCGTGTGGAACCCAATCAAATCACTGGACAGCATGCCCTCGATGAGATGCTTTCGCACAGGGAGGTTCCTCCAAAAGTCTCCTGCAGGAAACGGTGTATGGAGTGAAAAGCCAATGGCACAGGATTTGCCTTGCTGTTTGAGTCGGTCGCGAAGAAGCTCAGGCAAAAGCATGAGATGATAATCATGAACCCAAATCAACGATCCACCAGCAGCCGTTTCGGCAATCGCATCTGCGAATAATTCATTTACCCGCCTATATGCTTGCCATGGAGTCTCGTCGAAAACTACACCTGATTGATAATGGAGAATGGGCCAGAGGATACGGTCTGGCGGTCAGCCTGGATCGTGGTGTTAGGGCACAGGAGCTTACTCGAGAACCCGTTATAGTGCTCATGGGCCAGGGAGCTATCCAGGAATATGGGAATGGCATTATGTGCTTCCAAACTCTTTTGCACATCCTCTTGGTCCTTTGGGTCTCTAACCTCGATACCTGGCCAGCCAAACCATTGGAACTTGGTAGATTTGGTTAATCCAGAGAGGGAAGTGACGAGGCCACCACTCGAAAGTGATGACTGATAGGCACCATCAACCTGTTTCACAGACAATGGAAGGCGATTTGAGACGATGATGAGGTTTCGCTTTTCGTCAGTATTTGTGCCCATTTTGTGACCCAAGTTCGATTTTATATATGTTCGACAACAAAGAATGACCAATGAACCATTGACTGAGTTCAGACGAAAGTCCTGGGCTTTGCATGAAAGAAGCAGAATCCAAAGGGGAATTGACAGTTATACATAACCGCGGAAATGGCGAATGGCAAATTGCGTCAGTATGAAAGAAAATACATTCCTCTCTCCTTTCTATTGCCATGTGCCTATAGGTACTCGCTTAATGGCATTTTACCTCCAATATTCTATACGTGGTTAATTAGTTGGGTAATACGTAAAATAGTTAGCTGGCAACTTCTTCGGATTCCATACAGTCATTTAGCCCTACATGTATTTTCTACAGAAAGGGCCAACAAAAGCCAGAACATTTATTTATTTATATATATATATATTTGACGTTGAATTGGTTTTATTGTTCTATCCACATATTATTATTTTTTGTCTATATACCCCGGGGCTACTTCTTTGCTACATTTCGTCATGGGCATGTCAGAGCTAAACACTCGGTGCCTCAACTTTTCCCATCGATTTGCCTCTTTTGATTTGTAGCCATTTTACAGCAATAAAACAGCTCAATCCGGCTGCGTATGCGCATCCAGCAAATGCAATCAGTCCCCAGTACTGTCCCTTACAGACATGAATGATTTCTCCAGCAATCGGGACACCAGTCAATGCTCTAAGGATATGTCAGCGATATGTTCAGATGAAATGACTCAATAGAAAAGGAGAAGAACCTACCCAAAAGCAACAATAGTATACACAGTGGTGTAATACCTCCCATAATTCTCGACGGGACACAGCTCTCCCACACAGACTGGCACAAGGCTGATATTGCTCCCACTGGCGAATCCAAATACAATAGAGAATATCACCGTAGCAGCAAGATTTCCGTCAGCGGGCATCCAAATACCAAGGACAGAAATCAAACAAAGAATGTTTGTCAGGATCAATGTGTTGAACCGACCAATGCGATCAGCAATGATGCCCGGCAACCAACGACCGGGGAAAGAACCGGCGTTCAAAAAGACGACCATCAAATACGATAGATCTGGAGAGATCCCACTCGCGATTGAATACGAGGCAATGTACTCGAGTGGAATAAAGAAGCCCCATTCAATGAAGAATACCCCCATTGTCGTCAGAGCGAGGACGGGGTCTTTCAGAATGGTAAGATCGGGAAGAAATACCTTAAGCGACGGATGTGACGGGACTTTGGGAGGGAAGTTCGCTCGGACTAGAAGGCAGCCTGGGATCAAAAGGATCAATGTGATCAGGCCGACGACCCGGCTAGCCCAGGCGAATCCAATCTGTGGCGCAAGGTACAGCAATACCAAAGGGAAGATCACGCCGCCGATACTACCCCCGGCCAATGCGAGACCTGTTGCTGCGCCTCGGCGTTTGATGAAGAAATGTCCAATGCTGGCGACGGGCACAATGAATATGAAAGATGTACCCATTCCCCCCAGAATGCCAATCACAATGAGGAAGTGCCAGTACTCCTGACAAAAGCCCATGAGGATGAAGGTCAATACGAGTAGACCTGACCCGATCCACATGAGCAACCGCGGCCCTTTGATATCGAAAATAGGCCCGATCTGGATCCCGCAGAAGAATACAAGGAAGTTGTATATTCCGAAGATCCAGCCAATTTGCCCTTCGCTGATGTCTGAGAGTTGATGTGTTGAGATCCAAGCTTGATAGATGCCGATGCTGTTCATTAGGCCGAGTCCACCCATGATAGCGCTGAAGCTGCCTGCTACAACGAGGTTACCAATGAGCCCACCCTCTGGGCAGGTGGTTGGGTCGAGCGCTGATTCGTGGTGCATTATTTATGCTACACAATAGGTAAGATGTAATAGGTACAAGACAGAAAAGGAAGTTTGTTTGTTGTTGGAACTATGTATATGAAAGCTTCGATTGCGTGGATATAGCTCCTTTTAACTACTTCATATTGGATAAAGTACCCAATGTATATCTGGAAAATTTTCCTGAGCTCGGCCATTATCATGATGCATGTTGTCTTACGTGCATATGAACTAGAAAGAAATTCGCCGAGAGCTGTATGAAGATCGGAATCGGGTCGCTTTCGGGATTGGGCCGATCTGATTGATAGGATCAGCATTCGAATATTCCCCTTAAAATTATCTGAAGTCCACCGGAGTCATACTCCGAGCTGGCTCCGTGGCAAAGAACGACGGCCGGGCAACTCGGCCAACAGAGTGCTCGGCCACCGGCGGAGCTTCGCCGACCCGACAGCGGCGAAATCAAATTCACATGCGCTTCTCACATGCATTTTGATGTATATGTATAATACTTCATTATTGACATCTCATACTCTTAGAACAGCTGGAAAAAGAGTGGAAGAAAAGAAAATACCATAGGAATATGAGATCTATACAGGCCTAGGTAAAAAACCAGTACCTCGTACGCACCAAAAGTAGAGACAGCAGAGAAGCCAATATAGCCCCCAAAGGATTAAATCAACTAGAAACAAATACAAGAAAAGAAAACACCATGACGATGGTATGAAATAAAACACTAGCACCGGACCAATTCAAAACCCCAATCCCGAATATGGTCCCATCCCCGCTGGTTATGCTGCCAACCAATCCGCTGTAAAACAAGTACGCCGACCAGGCCTAGGCCTCAAAAATAAAAAAAAGTGGTTTAGGCAAACCTGCGCTTGGTTGGGCTCGGTGTCCGGAGGTGCTGCTCGCGCTCACGAGAGCGCTCAGTGACAAAGTCCATCGCCCGTGTATTCTCAAGCATCAGGGGCTGATCTTGTTTCTCGTCGTAGGGGACGCCTTGGGTTTGCCGAGGGTCTTGCTGCCCGTAGTACCCGAATGAGGGGTTGTGCTGCAGCTGGGGGTGCATGGATTGGGGTGGGGGGTGGATGTTGCGCATAGTGCTGTTGCTGGAGACGGTGTCGGAATGAGCGGAATGACCAATTGCTAACGACGGTAACGGTGGATATAGTCGCAAGGAAGAACAGCTAGTATATAAAGTCAATAAATATCCAAAATCGAGGGCGCAGGGAAACTCACAATCGCCTTCCAGCTGATGGGGTCAATAAAACTGTTGATGATAATAGCCATCGTATGCGCGGAGACCTTGGCGCGGCCAACCTTCGCCGGGTCACGATTCATGCACCGTTCCCAGTTCTCGCATATTGTTTCCAGGGCTGGCGCGCGATTCGATCGCGCGCAGTCGTTGTCGATGTAGCTTTTGGTGCAGACCGCCATGTCGGCCAAGATAGTATCGGACATTTCTTGCGCAGCCTGCTCGAACTCGCCGCGGATGGCTGACACAAATCCGAAGACGACATAGACGGCCAGAGAGAACAGCGACAGGTTGACCACCAGCTGGGCCCACCATGACAGGATGGCGGGGACATTCGGGTGTGCCTCCAGCATGCTGAAGAACTCAGACCAGGATGACACCCGCGAGCGACCCTCCTGGTCAGGCTTCTGTCCCTTTCCTTGCTTCGTGGCTTTCATCGACTTCTGTTCCCTGCTGCTGGGCCGGTCTAGGTCGCTATCGTCATCGCTGTCGACTCGTATTTGTCGGCCGAGTTCCTTGTCTCTCCGTCGTTTCTTTTGTATCCGGTGTAAGGCTGCGTTGGAGTGGTGGGTCAGCCGAGGGATTTCACCTCGCCCTGGGCTCTGCGGATTCCGGCCATGAAAGTTGAATAGTGACGAGGTTCCCTTCCCTGACTTGTACTGCTGCTCCGGTGTATCCTCATTGTCTGCATATTCCGGTGACGACATATTCTCGGCGCCTGATGAGAAATCTACATCAAATTTCCGTGGTGTCTGGAAAGCAGGTTGGCCAAATTTAGCCTTTGGCGATAGTGGTGCGGGTTGTTGTCGGGGCTGTGAAAAGAGGAAAGGTTGAGAGTTTGGTTCGCGGAGGGAGGGTAGCGCTTGCTTCTGGGGGGGATTCGAATGTGCTGTATGTTCCTGTGCGAATGTCAGAGAGCTTGAGACTACAGTTGCCCTCGTTCAGACTGGGATACGAACGTTTCTTCTCATGCTGCGCTCCAAGCTGGTAGAAGGGCGAGGTCACGTCGCCGGGGGCTCGAGTTTGCCATTCAAAGTCCATTGGACTCTCTCCCGTTCGTTTTTCCATCTTTAGGTCGACCAAAAATACAGATATGTAGCGGGATGATGGTGAGGGTTAGAAAGCGGGAAGTTTTTTGTTTGGGGTAAACATCCAGACTCCCGTAGCAACCTTGGCATTAACACTCTTTATCTCCGAGAGGGAACTATACTTCAGCGTTTTTACTCATATTTTTGATTTGATTGTACTCATTCGATGGTATAGTGTACAAATTGAATAAAGAATCAAATATCGAAGCAAGTAAGATCGTTTGATGCATTGGGCGACCAGCACCCACTATGTGTATTAAAGAGGATGGAAGGCAGACATAAGACAGAAGACATGAGAAGCCATCTACTCATCCATCTGCCACTGGTATTCCAAAGCCTCAAACCGGCTTTTCTTGTTCCGCGACGTAAACCAGTCCTTTTCAAACCCATTACCCCGATCCACTCCATCCCAGCGATGCCCTGGCCGGATCCCATATCGATTAGGCTGGAAGGAACCACGATACAGCGGCCGCCCCGTAACACTGGCTCCCGCATTACGCCGGGCCGTAAGGAACTCCGCGGCGGGATCATTCCACCGATCGCGGGCCCTCATATCTTCATTCATTTCTTCGTCCTCGATCGTCCGTGCAACCGGCATAGCCTTGATATCTTGTAGATCCCGTCGGCGCTCCTCACGCTGCTGCCGCTGCACATCTCCCATCAGCGCCTGTCGCGCCTGTTCTTCTTTCTCGCGCTTTTCTTCTTCTGCACGCCGGGCTTCAGCGCGTTTCATGGCAACGTTGATGATTCGGCCGGATGCGTCTCGGTAGATTGTTTCTTGGCTCTTTTGGTTCATTGCTGAGGGATCGCGGTACTGTGCTTCTTCGGCTTTGCGTCGCTTTTCTTGGGCTTTCACCATCGCTGCGGTTTGGGCGGCGGTTTGGAGGCCCCCTCGTGCTCCGGACTCCATGCGACCCGCGCCATCGTCTTCATTTTCTAGCATAAGCGCATCTTCATCGTCTGGGTCTTGCTGGGCGGCGCGTTCGGCTGCTGCATCGGCTAGAATTGCGTCGGCGGCTTCTTGTTCACTTCCACCTTGGCCAGGCGTGGGTCCTCCGATCGTCTTCCAGCTTGACTTCTTTGCGCGGCGGAACTCTGTAGTTTTGGCGGACGTTTCGAAATAAGGTCTGTCCTCATCGTCTTCGCCGGTATTTCCTAATGAGCGAATGTCTGGTGGATCATCGTCGGCAATGATGAGGCCGGAGCCGGCAGTATCGATGGCTTTGGTCTTCTTGCGCTTCTTCTTTGGCCGCTCGGTGACTGGGTCGGCAGTCAGATAGTTCTTTGCGAGGTAATCTGCGAGTGAGCCAGGCATGATTTTGGTATGTTGTATGTGAGAAATGTGAAATGTAGAGGTCGCAGGTTAAGCTCAGTGATTTAATGATCCGGAGGAATGTTTTTCCGAACTGTATGCCGCCTAGCCTAGCGCTTTGTGTTAAGGGCGTGAATGGTATTTGATTATGGACTCGGCAATGAGGGAGACTTCAAATTTTATTGCTTAAAATTATTCAGAGGTCTGCACAATGCCACGCTCTGAAGAAGCAGAGTGGTGGGCCAATGCAGTCTACGAGGCCATCCAAGAAGTTCCTCGGGGCAAAGTGACTTCCTACGGTCATATCGCACGCCTCCTCGGTGAACGTATGGATGCAATTGCATGGCTGTTGTAGACATACTAACCATTTCCTTTTGGTAATAGCTCAACGTCCCCGCCAGGTTGGGGTCTGCCTCAAGGTACTCCCGTCGCCGGAGTCTGGTTCGCACTTCAACTCCAACACGGTACCGTGGCAGCGAGTGATTAATTCGAAAGGGATGATTTCGCATCGGTGCGTGTGTAAACTACCTATTCCAAACTCTCATATCATCTCAAACTGTTGAAACTAGACGATATGATCCTGACTTGAAAGGAACTTTTCTACGTGTTCATGACTAACCACAATAGCAGTGGACCCGGCAGTGCGGAGCGTCAGGCCGAAGCTCTCGCCCAAGAAGGTGTAGAGGTTACTACAGACAGCATGGGCGAGATGTATGTTGATTTTTCTCGATATGGATGGTTTCCAAGCGAGCTGCCGAGTGAGGGAACGAATGGGCAGCCATAAGAATGCGGAAGCTGAACACTCATCTACCGTCGTAGAGACGTTTACAAACATCATACATTCGTTTCCAATGTCCTTGCATTGCATCAGAGCATTGACAATGATTCAAGAAATCGTACGGAGACTGAATCCATACATAGCAAATTGTCATAACTTGTCTGTCTGGTGGAGGGAATCTAGAAGATGGAAAGGACTTCGCAGATGAGTGTGAAGGGGATGACGCATGAGACTAAAGACCCATCACAAATATAATCAATGGAAAATAGAAAGACGAGTCTATCGGAGAGATATGAGATGGAAAAACACCAGACACAAAAAGGTAGACAGACGTGCAACGGGGAAAGGCGAGGCATAAGCATACGAGCATCTCGAAAAACACCCCATCCAACCAACTACCAGCATAAGACGAAAGAAAGCTTCGAAGAAAGAAGAAATAAAGACATGAACCAACCAGCATCAATCCGTAAATGGAAAGAGAAAAAATATCGTTAACTCACATCACCGCCATAAGGGCATGTCCGCAATGAATACCCAGGGGATAGCCCCATCTAGGCTAAGGAAAGAGAACAAAGAGGGAGGGGGTCACTAGGGTCACCTTCAGCGCTTTTTGACCTCGGTAGCCCAGCCTTCAATACCCTCCCCCCGGGTTCCAGGGGTAATTCCCAGATCGATCCCATCCATACCAGGTGTTTCCTTTATCCATTCGTGCGCTGCCATGCCACCAGCGTTCGCCCTTTTCTCGGGTGACAGATCAAGCATGGGCAGTAGGAGTTCGCTGATACGCATGCTCTCCTCCATGGAGTAGTGGTACTTTTCTCGGAGGACGTCGGGCAGGGCCCAGTGACGGAGTCGGTGGATATTGCGCAGTTCACCCTTGCGATTGAAGATTTCCTGGGACCATTTGCCGGTCATGCAGAGTGACTTGGGGAAGGGACCAAGTAGTTCGATGATTTGGGCAATGTGGTCATCGTCCTTGCCATATTTAGTCCCTGATTGGGGATCGAAGAGGTAGTCTCCGGTGATAAGTTCAAAAACCTAAATAGTTAGTATTGTTCCGCTTCTGCTGTGATTGATGATCAGAGTCACTCACCATGCATGCCATACTCCATACATCAGTACTGGCACCCCACTTAGAGCCCAGTATGACTTCGGGCGAGCGGTATTGACGAGTTTGAATGTCGTTGGTGAAATGGTGACCGACCCAACAAGCATTGCCTAAGTCTGCAATCTTGACCGAAATAATATTGACGTCAAGTTCTTCTTCTGGTGATTTGCTCGAAGAGCCTTTATCGAGAGAAATTCCAGACACCTCTCGCTCCAAAAGATCACTATATTTATATCGTTAAATCAAGTTCTCATCAATCAGAGGAATGCAGACGAAATGTAATAACGTACGCAGTTTTCTCCCGCTGATTTTGCTTCTCATCTTCTTCCTTCACTCCAAGTAGTTCTCTCATAGAGGGCATATCTGGAGTAGATGCTAGGTCAGTTTCAGTTCGCGCGCGGTCGTGCCATAGGTGCATCAAATGGGACTGACCTCCAGGTTCATTGACCATCTGGCTGAGGCTGCTGTGTGAGTTGGAAGAGCTATGTTTGAAGTCGAAGCTATTGAAGCTGGTGTTGAGCGGACTAGGGAGCGGCTGGCTCCCTGTGATCAGTGTGCGTCGCCGTCTCCGTCCATTTCGGTTATCCTCTTTCTCCTTGGCCTCTTTATTGGCTTCTTCCTTGACATGCGCCTTGACAATCTGCTCCACATCTCCAATCTCGATCAGCACATTCTCCGGCTTCAGATCTGTGTGAATGATCCCACACTCGCGGTGGAGATAATCCAAGCCCAGTAGTACTTGCTTCGCAATCTGCTTGACTAGCGGCATGGGAATACCGCGGTGGTTCCAACGCTTGATCAAACCCAACAGATTCTCGCCCAGGACCTCAAAAACCATACAAACATGGATACCATTCGGCCCCTTGTGCTCAAACGAGTCCAGCAGACTAACCACATGTTTCCGACCAGGGTGAGAGGGTTTCGCTTGGACTATTTTGTTGAGGAGCTTGATTTCGTCGATCGCGGTTTCGGTGTAGTGTGCGGCGGATCGAACCACCTTCAGCGCGACGTGCTTGTTGGTGGTTGTGTCCCGCGACAGCCAGACCGTAGAGAAATGACCCCATCCAAGCTTGCGAACGACAATATAACGACCATTGTTGTATGCTTCGCCCACCGCGACGGGGTGGTATCCACCTTTGCAGTAGTCTTCGGAGTCCTCCTCTTCTGCAGTAGCCTCGAGTTCTTCGCCAGACGATGAGGATGATGAGCGCGATGCGGGTGTTTGGGGGTTTGACGGAGCAGCGCCGGTTCTATTCCATTCGAAATTAGTAACCATATTCATCAAAAACGATTCTAGACATACGATTCTGTAGCGCCGGGCGCAGGGTTCCCTTCATTGGTGACGATGGGCTTCAAGTCGGTACCCTTTCTCCTTTTCTTTCCGCCGCTGCCATTGGCAGTTGAAGCAGCAACGTTCGCCATCTGTTTGCCCTTGTTGAGCATGGCCTTGGTAAGATCGACTCCCTCCATGGTGTGGAGATTTGGGAGGTCAAGCTGAGAGGCGGGGCACACTGGCTTTTGGTTGGCTCAAGTGGAACTTAAGAGGCGGTGGATGTTGGAGGGGGGACCTCTACCACCACAATAAAGACACGAGTAATCGGGGGGGGAATACAACACTGCCCAAGTGAAGTGAAGAATTCAAGTAAACTGAGAAAAGAGTTGAAGGGGGAAAACCTGAAGATGTCAAAGATTGGGAAAAATAGCGGGTAAAGGCACAGCCCAAAAAGAAGATGGGCCAGAGCGACGATCCGATCGCAAAGTTCAAGTTTTATGAAATCGAGA